TTCATTAAGATGAAAAATGCTCTTTGAAAACTTGGCCAGTGGTCCAAATATTTGGTAATATGTTTTAGTATCTTCTTGGAAGATCAGCACTGCAGTCCTGCATCTGCAATAGGGCAGCAATTTGATCTAAATTATCAGATCTTTTATACCACTTAAGAAAAACATGTTTTGCAGACTCTTTATTCATTTGTTCTTATTACTTTAGTGCCAATAACCTGAGATGCAATGTGCTTTTTCAATTAATTTATAATAGTTTTTGAGGATGTAATAATATGGTTCTCAAGACAATTGGATAGCCTTATTTGCAACTAATGGACATTAGTTTAAGTGGTTAGTGGATTGTCTGTGGTGTTCTCTCTTTTTTAAGAATCATACTTGTATGGTTTTATAGAAAGCGACCTTTTTCCTACATTAAATGCAGGTAACAATTAGTTTAATATAATTCTGGTAGACATTAAGTATATTTTGACATTGGGTGGATATCAAGATTCATTGCTCTGAATGTTTAATATTCATTAAAGAGGATTCAATTCCAATAGTTGCTTTGAAGGACAACCTTTCTTGAAGTTCTCATCTTGTTACATACAATCAAAATATTTTTATTCTATGTGTCTGGATTCTGGGGAGTTCTCTACTTTGCAACCCACTTTTCTCTCTCTACTTTTTTCAGCCCACCAACCTAGCTCATGAAGTTAGACAATGAGCAGAGTGCAGAATTTACCTCTTAGGAGAAAAAACACTTTAAACCAACCCCCAGTAAAGGATACATCCATATAAGGCCTGCACAACCTGTGATGCTCCCAGAATTCTTGGCCATTGGACAAGCTGGGTAGGGCTTTTGAGAGTTGGGAATCTCAAATAACTGGAGGGCCACTATATGATCTATATGTATATTACTTTGTTATTTCATTTCATTATCAACAGCAGCATAAATAAGTGAAAATATAAATCGACAAATCCTACTGACAGAGGATGTCAGTTCTGTTAATTTTACTAACAACCATGTTGCATTGAGTTGTTTTCAGTGGCATGCACTGGTTCCTCTATAGTTTTGTGATTGAGCCCATCAGCTCTGAACCCACAATGTGGAGAAACTTCCAGCAGGGCTCTATTCTGAAAGCATCAAGGAACTGTCGCATGCTGCCACCTTGGCAACATGGGAAGCTTTCCATGTTGCAGTGGGGGAAAGCTGGGCAGTTGATGCTTCCATCCATGGGATGAGGATTCTAGTGAGTTGGGCAATGCAGGGCATGGGGCAACAGGTTCCCCACAACCCCCAACAGGCACTGCCATAATTGCCACAATGTGTAGTGATTCCGACTGCCTTTGTAATAAGGTTGTAAGAATTTCACTGGTGTTTCTATATTGTTACATTCACCCTCTCACCATCAATATCAAGTACTCAAGTAGAAATCTTGAACAGGAGCAGTATATTTATATACATTGATTTATCATCTTTCTTTAACAAAAGTGTTGTAGGTTTTCATCTTGACATACTAACTTTCATAGGTAAGGCAAACATACCTAGCTAAAAGATAAATATATAAAATGTAGAATAGCATGTTGTGCTAGAGTTTCCAGAATCCACATAATTGAACCATTATACTAATTATTACTAAAGCTATATTACAAAATATACATGTTTAAACATTCAGCTATGACAATGCTTAGCATTAAAATATGCTGAAAGATAGGACAACTGAGCCGGTCCTTGTCCCAGGTTTATTCTTGCCCTCTAAAAAGTTGCCAACTGACCAGCTCTCTCCACCCATATCAATGAAGAGGGGTTTTTTCAGCAGATCATTGTGGTGAAGTGTGAATTTTAACGTACAGTTATGTATAATTATTGATAGGTGTTTAAAAGGGTAAGTATTTAAAATAGCATAACTGGGTGGATGGTAGCCAGCTCAGCTCACTCTGAGCTGGGTTGCCATGGAAAAAGGGGAGGAGCCAACTGCCACTTGGCAGGGCAGGCATTTTAAAACGGTCAGTCTGTAGTCGGAGAACTACAGGGAAGGCTGATTCTACCGTGTTGAGAATCAGGAAAGCAGTTTGTAGTCTGAGAACTACAGAGAAAGGCTGATTCTACTGTGTTGAGAACCAGGAAGGCTTTTAGGCTTTTAGCGTGTATGGTTTAGATAGGTCAAGTTGACTTATTTAGATTAGTAGTTAGTGTTTGAACAAAAAGGGGGAGAGAAACCCAGTAAGCATATTTGCTGAAACAGAAATAAAGTAAGGAAGCCAGTACCTGAAGTGATCTGTTAAGAAAAGAAACACATTTTGAAGGAAAATAAGTTTAAAACCTGTCTAGTGGAAGGAACTGTCCTCTTAAGAGTTGTTTTATGAAATGTTATAAATGTAACCACTGAAGAAATGTGCCTCTAAGAGTTAAGAAACATTGAAACCATTAAGCTTCTTCTACACTTCAATAAACTTGTTACAGATTCTCTTAAAGCCAAGTCTATGTTTCAAATACTTTAAAGACAAGCCGCGCTACATATTGAAGAAAGACCAACAAAGCTATTAGTTGTGTTATCAATTTTGTAAATCCATTACAACTAGTAGGAGACCCTGATAAATCAGTGATGTCCCTACTACCTCTTTAAAAGTGGTGGCGTCGTTGCAGTCATAATATATCAGAACTCTGCCATCTTCAAGGAACTGCTCTATGAAGTGTAGTTGTAGTAATGTACAATGCCCAGAGTCTCGGACTCACTTATGTATCACCACTGTGACTGGCATTATTATAAAGGACTTGTGTTTCTTGTCAAGTGGTTAGAACTGATCATAGTTTTGGTGCAGTTTCAGATTCTCAGGAAGACTTCAAGCCAACAGTCATTATGGCATTAAGAACACTTTGTAGAATTATTACATCAAGGGTATTACTCAGTTGTATTTTTTTATTTCATTTTAAAAATCCTTCTATTTCTGAAACATTGCAACTAGTTTTCTTTGCCTAAGAGTTAATGCTATGTATTATGTTTATAAAGCTGGTGTATTTCAAAAATAAATGGATTGTTGCCAAAAGGCAATGCAGAACCATGTCAAAACAAGCACCATGGCTTCAGCAACATGGCTAATACTGCTTTCTTATAGTTGGAACTGAATCTGTTTGTAATGATGAGGTTGTATGCCTGATTTGCTTTCTTGCTTGCCAGTGAATTACTAAATTGATAAACTCTTTTGCTGAAGGGCATATTAAGAAATGCACGAGGCTCTCTGAGAGGGAATAGCTTGGTGGTTAAAACAAGCTAATATTTATCTTGAATTTTCTGCCATTTGACTTTAAGAACCTGTTAAAAAGGACTATTTATTCCAGAAGTAAGGTGAATTGGATTTCTGCCAACTTAGGTGTAGTCCCTAAATGAATGTATGTCAAAAGCAATATTGTTTCTCAAATACAAACTAATTCTGAAAGCACCCTTTCAATCAAAGTAGAACCTTCCATTAGTAAACTTTGTTATGAACTTGTATCGTACAAGTACCTGAAGAATACGATGTGGCTGTATTGTCCACAATTATTATTATTTAAGTACACTTGGTTCATTTTCGGAATGTCTGCATTTAACTTTGCAATTGTGAATTGGAAGAGTTATGGATAAGTAAATCGGGCTGTAGCAGTTGGGCTGAACAAGTTACTTATTTAAGAACTGCATTTCTTCGCTAACTAGCTTATATAGAATACTAGCAAATATGTTTTGTGTTACTTTTTTAGGGAGGGGGAATCCCAAAATGCAAACATCACATTCTTCCAGTTGATCATTATTGGAACCCAACAGAGCTTTGAACATTTTTGCAATTTGGGGTTTTTCCTGAAATGCATATCCATGAATATATATGTTTCTGTATTTATGTATCATGTAGGAATGGTTCCATTCTTCAGCTCCCTCTTCCTTGCCAACAGCATTAGCAAGGATAACCTTCAGTTCTACAGTTATTAATTCAGTTATTATATTATTAATATAACAAGATTAACACTGGGAAAATAAAGGAAGAACTGAGATATGAACTCAGGAATAGAGAAGGAATATATCATTGTACGTTTTGAGGAAGAATTGGAATGAAAATTGGATTGAGTAGATGTTCTGAGAGGCAGTTCCAAACAGTAGGGCAGCAGTGTGAACATCAAATGGGGATCACCTAGTAGACCTAGAGCAATAACGGTCATGGACAGAAGTGAAAAAATCTGAAGACAAGGATGGTACACCAGAAATCTACTACTTTACTCCCAAAAACCTTTACTCTATGTATAACTTAGACATATAATTTATAATAAATAATAAACCTTTATTTGTATACCACTCTATCTCCCTGGGAGGTTTCCAGCATGGTAAAGCATTGCAATTACCAACATACAAAAAGTCGTTATAAAAAGTATAAACTGCACATATTTAAATTGTACATATTTAAAATTCAGATGAAAAAGTCAGTTCAGCACTAATTCCATCGGGCAGCTCAGCTTCCAATGGCCAAGATTCCAAAGTGGAATACATATACATATAATAAGGGTTTTGTTATAGCTTTATAGTTTTGCTATTTAGTTAATTTCTTACATTACGCATTGATAAAATGTTAGTAACATACTCATTTTAAATTTCAAAAATTCCACTTTCAATAACCAAAATGAGTTGATTGGCCAATCAATTCCCAAATCACAAATTAAAGGAAGGTGAGCTATGAATAGTCAAAACCATTAACAATGCTGACATTACAACGATGAAGATAATGACTTTTTAAACTCCTGTCAAATTAGAAAGAATTATGGCCAAGAAATTATTTTTATCAGTTTAATTCCATGCTGGGATATTGCATTGTATACATACTTGTCCAGTCTGATGCTATTGGGGAGACAATTCATCATGGTTTTTTTCCCCCCTGCTTTTAGCTTGGAGTCTACATTTTTATTACTTTTGGGAAAATGCATCTGAAATATATTTCTGGACTCAACTTTCTGAAGAATAATTTGTGCATTTTTCCTTCCCTTCTCTCCATATTTCAAGTGATCAGACCTGTTGAAAAAAAGCAATGCCTTGCGTTTGCTCCCCCGGCTTCTCAACTCTGTAGTATTCCTTGTCCTCCGGAATGTCTGGTTTCTTCCTGGTTGCCATGGGGCCCTTGCATTAATGAAAACTGCCAAGAAATTCAAGGGAGAAAAGGTACATTCTAAATTATTTTATAATTATTGTTATTGTTCATGGGTTTTGTGTGCTGTCTTCTAAAAACATCTTTGATAGCTACTGAATCAAAATGATTCAAAATGTACTTTTGTTTTGTTTTTAATCAAGGTATTACTTTTGCAAGATCTTCTGGCCAATGGTGACAAGAGGTTGCTAGTTTCCATGATCAGCTGTTGATCAAATGGTAGAAGTACATAGCAATTACCATATATATTCGAGTATAAACCGACCCGAATATAAGCCAAGGATGGGATTTTTACCAACAAAACTAGGGCAACTTATTGACTCGAGTATAAGCCGAGGATGGGAAATGCAGCTGCTGCTGTTAAATTTTTAAAATGTTGCCTGAGGAGGAGGAGTCGAGGAAGGTCATGGGGTAGCTGAGAGGAAGGTGGTTGCAGCTGCTGCTGCTGCTTTTCCTGGGGTAGGGACTTTAGGAGCCCACCTGCAATACTCCTCCTCCTCTCCTTCCTCTTCTTCCAAAGCTGCAGCGGCGGTGCAGCTGCAGGCAGAGCGTCATCCTCTTCCCCTTCTTCCTCCTTTGCTTTGAAAGAAGGGGCGAAAGTAGAGGAAGAGGATGCTCACTATGCAGCCATGCCACCACCACCGCTGCTTCAGGAAAGGAGGAAGGAAAGGAAGAGGACAAAGCAGCGGCAGTGGCAGCTTGGCTGCATGGTGAACGTCTTCTTCCTCTCCTTCCTCCTCTTTCAAAGCAGCAGTGGTGCTGCTTTGAAAGAAAGGAAGGACAGAGAGGAAAAAGAGTATGCTAACTCTATGACCCCATTGCCACTGCTGCTGCTTTGAAAGAGGAGGAAGGAGGGGAAGAGGACAAAGAAGCAGCGGCAGGGCTGCAGGGTGAGTGTCATCCTCTTCCTCTCCTTCCTCCCTTTCTCTCGAAGCAGCACCGCCGCAGCTTTGAAAGAAGGGGGGGAAGGAGGTGAAGAAGATGCTCACCATGCAGCCACCACCTCTGTCTGCTTTGTCTCTTCCATTCCTCCCTCTCCCAAAGCAGCAGTGGTGGTGGCATAGCTGCATAGTGAACATCGTCTTCATCTCCTTCCTCCTCTTCTTTCAAAGCAGCAATGGTGCTTCTTTGAAAGAAGGGGAGGAAGGAGAGAAATAGGAGGAAGCTCAATCTTTGGCCCCACTGCTGATGCTACTGCTTCAGTAGAGATGGAAGGAAAGGAAGAGGACAAAGCAGCGGTGGCAGGTGAGCATTGTCCTCTTCCTCCCCTTCTTTCAAAGCAGAGGAGGAGGGAGAGGGAGAAGCAGTGGCCTTGGTGGCAGCACAGTGGGAGCAGGAGGATGGCATTCGGGCTCCTAAGGCCCCCCTCTTCCAGAAGCAGAAGCAGCCTTCCTACTCTCGGCTTCTCCGGCCTTCCTCGCCTCCTCTTCCTCCTCCACAGGTAAAATCCTCCACTCTCCTTGACTTGAATATAAACCGAAGGAGGTTTTTTCAGTCCAAAAGAAGGGCTGAAAAACTCTGTTTGAGTATATAGGGTATATCGGCCAGTTTTAACCATGAATTTTAAACTCATCTCCTTTGTTTATTCACTGTTTTGTGTATTTTAATATGTATTTTCTAGAGATACCGTTTAATATGTATCTTTTATAGAAATAAAATTTCATGTGCAATTGTGGTATTTTTTCAATGTTTGTGTGTTTATTCTGTAACCTGCCTCAAACAGAGGCTGGATGGCAATCTATCGGGGGTGCTTTGAATGCGATTTTCCTGCTGCTTGGCAGGAGGGTTTGATTGGATGGCCCACAAGGTCTCTTTCAACTCAATGATTCCATGAACTATGAAGAAAGGCGGGTAAAAAAATAATAATAATTACTATTATCATTAGCAAAGCTGTATGATTTTCTAGCTTTGCTTTATCTGCTCTTTGATATAATGATATATGTGACAAGTAAATTGTAATTCACTTTTTTTGCTATTTTTTAATTTAAAAATGAATATATGGTTTTAATCAGGTAGATGATAATTAAATCTGAAGAATCCAGTATGTTAGCTCCTTATTCCTTCATAAAGTAGATTAAATATTTTCATTCTCACTTGGTAATCTGTTCCAGGATAAATGGTTTAATTCTTTAGTTTCTAATAAAATTAATCAAGGCTTAGTATCCATATCTTTTAAATTATCAGGTTGAGTAAGCTGATTTCAGCCAAAGGAGGGCAAGCTGTGGGGAACATTATGACTCCCATATTTTGGGGGTGTGTATGAGGGATATATTCCAAGACTTCCTGAGAAACTGAATAATAATGAAACCCTATATTTGACTATACATGGGTTGGAAGCATAGCATAGAATTCAACTAGAGGACCTAGTACGCCCCACAAAACACTTCTGGGAGAGTGTGGGTAAGGGATACTGTGAGCATTGAATCAGTGGATGGGGGGTGGTACTATAATTCCTTCCTCTGGAAGGCATCCAGGTCACATATTGCCTGCTCCAACTAGACGTAGCTAGAAATCCAGTCCTTGCTTCGTAACTGTTTTTCAGGGAACAAAACAAGAGTGGGAGTTGCTTCTTTATTTTTAAGGAGAATGATGCTTCATGGAGAATTCCAGGCATGGGGTTCTTTCTCCGTGTTTCTGTTCTTGCTATATGTATTTATACTCCACTTTTCTTTTCCAAAGGATTCTGAGAGTGGCTAACGGTAAAAACTCTAACAACATGTGAATTAAAACCTAACACATACAAACATTAAAATAGGATTAAACATTGGACTTATTAAAAATAAACAGTTAAACAATGTAAAATACCTTAAAACACTATGTAACACTTGGTCTTAAAAACTTGCTTCTTTAAAGACCTGCCTGAAAAGAAAGTTTCAGCCTGCCACCTGAAGGACAGCAGGGAGAGGGCCATTCTGGCTTCCCTGGGAAGAAAGGAGTTCTGGATTCGATGGGGTAGGCACTGAGAGAGAATGCCCACTCTCTTGTTCCTACCAACCAAAGTTGTGATGGTGGAGGAACCAAAAGAAGGACCTTACCTGAGGTTCTCCAGACCTGGGCAGGTTCATATAGGGAGATGCAATCAGTCAAATAGCCTGGACCTGAGCCATATAAGGCTTTATAGGTCATAATCAGCACTTTGAGTTGAGCCTGTAAACAGTCTGGCAGCCGCATTATTTGGACCAGCCAATGTTTCCAAATATTCTCTTCATCCCACATGGAACACATTACAGTAATTCAAATGGGATATAACTAAGGCATGTATCATGCCAAAAAGTGTTAGTCTGGATAGGACTAAGAATTAACAATTCTTCGTCCGAGAGCTTAAAATCCTCAGCAATCTTCCAATCCCTAGATGCCATAGGATATAGCCTCCACAGTCACACTGGAGTCAAAGTACTATATGAAATTGTCCTCTCTTTGCCTATCTTTAAAGCCTACTATAATTTCAAAATTAAACAATAGTATCATGCTAATGATATCTTTCGTTATGAGATGAAATTCAGTCATCTTCATTTTCACTCTCTTAGGATTCAAAACAAGGCACAGACACATTGTGGAACCGATGGGTACCTCTGACAACTGTCCGCACTTAATAGAATCTATTCCATGTGACAATCCAGTGTGCTATGACTGGATTATTTCTGAGGGATTCTGTTTGCCGTATAATGGAATATGTGGGCCAGGAAGTCGCATTGTGCATGCTCAGTGCAAGAGCTATAAGGGTATGTTGTATTGATTGCATGTCCTTTCAATGAATGTTGCATATATGTCCAAAGGAATTTCATGGTAATTATCTTTTTTACAGAAGTACTTTATCCATAGCTTGTAATTTACGATGTGATACAAATAACCCTGAGACTATTTGCTTTATCATGTTTTGATATTTTGAAATGATTGTTATCATTGCTATCTGTCACTTTCTATAACATGCCTATCCTTTTGGGTGTAAGGGACTCCCATTAAATCCTTATTGTCTTGGAATATGGGGAATTAATGGCATACAATAAAAATGTCCAGGTTAGGTCCTACCTTGCCATGGAATGCCATGAAGGTCAATATGAACATGGATAAGATGAAGATCACATTGGCGTTAATGGAATGGAGGTGAGATTATGAATATTTGAAAGCCAAGTAACTGGTCGGGTAAACAAGGACAGATGTGCAGTAACAGGATGTGTAGTCATGGGCAGGCTGAAGATCAAATAATATATTAATTAGATGAGAGTAGATATGATAGTGCTGGGCTGGGCTTGTATGAAGTGATGAGCAATACAAAGTAAGACACAACTCAGTCTATGTGGTCATCTAATGGCATTGGCGGTACAAAATGTAAGCAACAAGGCCAGTTGTCTGAAATCTTACTTTGAAATATAATATAGAGAAATATAGCCATCCTAATGGTCTTACAAATGTAATACTGGTAGTTATAGGTCTAAGAGTAAGAATTTTGTGCAAACAGCCCAGATCCATCACATTCATATTTTAAGAAGGATATTTGCATGACTGAAAGGATCTCATAAAGGGGTGTGGTTTTTTCTCAAGATAACACTAGGCTTTCAGCTCCATTGAACTGTTATCAACCTGAACCAAGAAATAGATTTCAGTGCTCCCTATAAATTAGTATGCAAGACATATTTCCATCTACATTTGCAGTCCTGGTGTGCAAGCTCAAAGTATACTTTCCCAGGTAAACAATGTTACGTTAGGCCAGGGAAGAGAACAGAGAATACAGTATATGAATGCAGAATATCCCCCTCCCCCCGCCCCGGTCAACAAATTATGGTTTGTTGGTTTGAGAATATGACATCTGCATAGAGCTATTGTGTCTTTTGAGATCAAGACTACTAATTTTATAGTGCTTACTTGGGGAGCAGTTGGAGGAAATGCAGAATGGAAAACTTCTAAATAAATTATGCTTTATTTAAATTATGAAATAAATATGAATTACGCACTGGCTTCTTTTCATTCCTGTAAAGCTGCACACTTAATATATTTACATAACTTTCTGTGTTTTCTCTCTCTTATTACAACAGCTTTTTAGATAGGATACTGTAAAAGTATGCTGCTGCCTCATTACTGCTGATTTATGTTACAAGGTTATGATGAGATTTAAATGAAAATATTGTGCTGAGCAATGTGGTGTTTACTCTGCAGCATTTCAGATCTAGAATGTGTTCAGGTCACCACCTTTTAATCTCAAACAAACTTGCGTGTTTTTGTAGGACATTTAATACAAGCTGCAGGTGCTATTGCCTTACCAGCATATCAGCCTGCAACCCAAAGCAACATCATTTGTGAAAAAAATATTGTTGTGGTGGCCTGTTGTAAATCTGCCCTGAACCCCCCTTGGGGTGAAAAGGATGGGGTACAAATGCTTGAAATAAATATTACTACTACTATTACTACCGCAACTACTACTATCCAGCATTTCTCCCTAAATTGGGACTCAACATTAAAATTCAAATAAATTATTGACAGTGTTAAAAATGATTTAAAATGTTTCCAAGGTGTCCGGATTATTTTACAAAAGGCTGCAATTAATGATTTAGGGTGGTATCATCATTTTAAAAACCTATCAATATAATATCCCATCCAAAACAGAGACATGCTTTCCATGCGAAATACTGATACCACTATGAGAGTATGGCTTAGAAAAATATTCTGGTTAATTATTGAATGAGTGCAGCTATGCTGTGAAACATGTAACCCCCCCCCCCCCAACACATACACACAGCTGTTAGGACGTATTGATATTTTCAGACCCATTTCAGTCTTTCAAAGCATTTGCCTGGCTTGAAAAGGCATCTCTTTGAGCATCTCTTATCTAGAATTCCACAATTGTCTAAAATCCAAAATTGTTCTCATGGGAGTCTGAAATAGGCCTTGTATACACTGGACCTATAATATGATATCAACAAGACATTGTCTGGACATTCAGAAGGTGTCCAAAGACTTTCTGTATGAGAAGAATTGATAAGCAACTTAAACCCCACATGAGGGGAATGTTCTGGAGTTTTGATGAAAGTCCAAAAAAGCCCTGTATTCTGAGGTTAATGTGGACAGCTAGACTGACTCTAAATCAAACCAGCCAATAGTCTATATGGCCCAGTGCTACCATTTCCCTTTCACTGTTCTTCAGAGCACAGAGAAAAGTTGATGAATTGCAGCTACATTGTCTCTGTCACCACTTTATCTCCAAGATATCCCATTATGTATGTATATGCAAATAGAGATTTCCCAAAAATTCTCTCTCCCCCTCCCAAACCCTGAAATCTAAAACAATTTTTGCTACAAGCATTTCAGATAAGGCGTACTCACCCTGTAATTTGGACAATAGCTCCTAGAGTTACCCAACCATGTTGGCTCAGTAATTCTGAGAACTCTAGTCCAAAAGTTAACATTTTCAATTTCTGAGCATTAACTGAGCATTAACTGTATTGCCTTTACAATATAATTCACTGCGAGAATGAAAATTGGAGAGGGCTTCTGCATCTTTAATAGCTGAGTAGGAGTGAGCATCTCAGGAAATGCTGCTTGTCATGCACTCAGTTAACAAGCAACAGATGCTGATATTCCATTGCCTGTAATGTACAGCAATTAAAGATATTGGGTACTTCTCCAGTTTTCACTCTGGCAACCAAATTCATTAACTACTTGCCAAGATATATGTATTTTACACTACTTTTCTCAAGGGATCCCCAAAAAATTCTAGGATCTCATCATGTTGAGGTCCAAAAAGTGTGCAATAGCGAGGGGATTCTCTATGTAGTATGGCAAATCTGATAGGCAATGGGGAAATAGTCACCTCACAACAACTGTATTGGTACTTTCCCTATCCCACAGGGGAAAGTGTTGCTGCCCGGTTTACCTCCACACTGGCCTGTTCTGGTCAATGGGAACACAGGAAGCCTCCCATGTTCTCTGGGCAGCATCCTAGGACACTGCCAGGACGCTGAGAGAACGGAGCTCTGTCAGAAGTAGCTGTGCCTCACCTGAAAGGAACTGGTGGGCTCCATCCTCCCAGCATCCTGGAAGCATCCTAGGACTCTGAAATTGTCAAATGTGATGAGGTCCTGAGTGATGCATATAAATTCTATATATGCGAATGACAGAACTGGCCTTTTTTGATTGATCAGTATGACAACACATTTTTGTGAGTTCAAATATGAAAATAAAGGGCAATACAAAGCACAGCAATTGTTTGGATAAATTTTACACTAGAGAAGAATTAATCCCTGAATCGGTTTTATGTTGATAAAAGCAGTCACATCCCCACAGAGCTTACATGCAACAAAGATTTCTCACTATGATGTTCTCTTAAGGTCCAGGAAGCTTTAGAGTTATGTCAGAGCTCTTTATTATTTTTATGGCCCCAATACTTGTCTAGACATATTTTGGTTTCTATCTTCCCTTCTGTTAGCAAACCAGCTTTTCGTGTATACCAGTATATTTGTGTTATTCCATGTGTATGGAATGCAAAATTGATAAAATATCCCTGTTTAATTTTTCTTCTTTTTATGCCACAATTGCTCCCTTGTGCAGTTTTAATACTTCTTTCAAATGGAGGGTGTTGCTATAATTCCCTAATTGCAACATCCCACCCGCCCTCAGAACTATTGCATGGCCATAGCATTTAAAAAAAAAGAAAACTTGGGAAATGGAGTAGATCAAAATGACTTCACTCTTCTTGAAGATAGGCATGGAGAGACACACCACATGAATGCTGGAATATTGGAACTGCCACAAAATGAAATGACTGCACCAGATACAATAGTTGCAGCCATATTAGAGACATTGACAGGTTATTCTCATCAGTGAAATGATAAAAATGCAATTTAACAACAGGAGAGTCATGATGTCTTGATATAAGGTAAGATGAAACACAGAGTTAACCCAGTGTAATTGTACAACAAACTTCTCGTGTGCTAATAATGGCTTTGATTAAGGCTACTTACATAGTTATGCTTACACCAGACCGGTGAGGTAGATTAGACTGGGAGTTAGAATCTCATCCAATGTGATTCTGGACTAAGTCGAAATAAGTGCAGTGCAACTATGTATAGTATTCACTTTGTGCAAACTTAGAAGAGCTCTGCTGGAATTAAAAGTGGTTTCCTTTATCTCCAAGAACAATAAAACTTGATGCAAATATTTAACCATGTAGACTCCTCACTACCTATTGTGGTCTCAGTTCAATTGCTAGTCCCAACTAAATTAAACCCATTAAATAAGTGTACATGTTAGTAATTCCACACTGAAGTTAATTCTGTTATTTTGGTGGTTCTATTTAGAACGATGATTTGGACTCTTCCATTATTTCTTTGTTGCATTATTAACTTCTGCTCCTGGACTCCCATACTTTAAAAGGAGGTTGCAATTGTTCATGAAAACTGGTGAAAGAAAGACAGCCAGATAAATCCCAGTAGATAGGATCATGATTGCTTCTCACTCATATTGATATCTTGTTTGCATTATGACCAGATAACATGCATCTGGCAGCCAAGGTGGTGTCATCTCTGGGACCTTTCTACTCTAGATTCAGGTTAACATAACAGTATTAGTTGGCAATCACTGTGAGTCTGTCTGAATGATGCTAAGCAAAGTTACTGTGCACATTTTTAAAGGCAAATACCCTTAAATTGTCCATTGCAGATAGTAAAACTTTCTTTCTAGCAGACAGAGGAAAGAAAAGTATCACTGCCTTTGAGTATTCCTTGTTTAA